CAAACGCACGCACGACAGTCATCATTCGTATCGAAATGGCCATTAATCCGACTGACCTCACGTGGCGACCTTGACTGCTGGAAGGTAGCCATCGTCGCTCCCGCAAGGTCAGTCAGCCCTTGGTACAATCGCTTTTCCGAACCCGTGTCAAGTGGAAGTAATCCAGACGAAACATGAAAGGTTTGTGGTGAAGTGCAACTCATAGCGTATCTTGACTTCGGCGGTTTTGGACCATTGACGATCTCACAGATATTCACTTGTAGTTGTTACAACATCGCCTCATTCTTCAGCTACTCGTTCGCTCATACTCAGTTCTCAACATACCGTTAGTGAATCGTAAATATACCGTACTCTCTGCGAATAATCCTTGCGTTTTCGTCGCCACCGGCACGCTATCACACAGGTATGACTGTTTGTCTCATTACATGAAGTTCGGCGCTACTTTCTCGCTATTGGTTTTCAAGAAAGAACGTTTTCCTCATGAACTGAAATCTGACATTCACAATGATAATGACAAACATTCGGTTTAATTCACTTTCATACTTTCGTCTTTTTCGCTATCCGTTCACGAATGTGAGCCAGGTGAGGGTTTAAAAATATCTTGTAATGGAAATAAAGCAACATTCCAAAAATGTGACGCTTCAACGAGTTGAACCTGCTTCCATATTTGAATTCGCATTGCATGGGGAGATATGCAACGCAGTCTACCAAATGGTGAGTTTAATTTAATTCACTTGCACTGTCCACACGAAGCGTCATTCATTGATGTATACGTTAGAATATGGCATAAACTGACTTCTTGAAATACGTTGGTCTGTAGAATTTTACTAATATAAGTGATGAATGATTGCCATGATTTAACAGTCCCTGAACATTTATTTTAATAATCATATTGACATTCCAGAAAATTAACAAAGTAACGCGAACGACCTTTCTCAGAGAAAATTTACTCTTTCAATTGTGTTGTCAACATCCTCTATTAAGTTACTACGCCTCAGCATTGAAAACTAAGTATATGACAGCATTATGCAGGAGGAAGGAAACGAACCTGGTCGTTGATTGGCTAAGCAAGCTTCAGCACTCAGTTCATAATTTGAGAGAACGAGAAATCTCTTTTTTCTTCAGTCAAGCACAGCATAAAAACTGCTTAATAATTCATGCTGTGCCCAGCTTCAGTAGCCTTATATGCCTAAACAATTGTTATGCACTGTTTACAAATGCAGATGTATCTGTGGAAAAAATTTGACAAAGAAGAAAATGGCATGCTGGTAGTAAAATCACTGCGAGAATGAAACGAGAAGAAATTTGTGGCTAATTTGTTGATCAAAGGTTGAGGCATAAAACATATCTAATGGGAAACGTTTTGTTACAGAAGTGACCTAATCAGGGTGAAACGGTGCTAACTTACGGCAGCAAAGCGCGTTGGCAAAAAATGTTTCCTCGTCAGCTTCGCTTGCTGTCCTCAACCACAGATCGGCAAATCTACGACAGTCCTAAATTAGCTACGGCTTTGTATATGACTCATAGCAGCAAAGTCACAAATCAAGGATTCACTTGTAGAATCTTTGGAATCAAGGGCATACTGTATAGTTCGAACCAACTTTTCCATAGGACACCGATAGAAAACTCTGCCATGCAATTTTAAATCTTCATGCATTCGTCGTTGCCCATTTCATAACACCCATCGCGTCATGGTTCAAGAAATAGGGCTGAACTATGTAATGGATAATAATTTCCTCAAATATGTTGGCATGAAAATTTTCCGTTCCGACAGACTTTAAGCGACACTAGTACTGTTGAACGGTCATATGGTTTAACTGTAAGTCTAATCTATATTCTGCCATCCGCGTTTCTTTTACAAACTTCAAGAAATCCAAAATTATTGGAATTGCTCAAGTGACTGCACTGTGTAATGTCTACATTAGCCTTGATCGTCTTGTCTGTCTTTTCAGTTCTTTTAACAATAAATTTGCAAGTCAATTTGCAGATGAAGATGGCGAAAAATTTCACGCTTGTGGTCAGCCATATAATAGTTGCTGCCTGCATTTTTTCAGTGATGCTGGTCGTAAAGACGCTGTGAAATTTACCACCCGCTCAACAGTCAGTGGAACTGCTGTCACTGTTGACTGGAGCACGTTCTTGCAAATAAAAATGTTGAGAAATGCGCCTGACACTGGGCTCCACCGAATGGATACACCACTGAATGATTAAGACATTGTTGACTGGTCGAAATTATGTAAATTCTTACGGATGCCGTTGTGATCTCAAAGATTGAGGAAACAAAATCATGACTCTCAAACTAAATTAAATGTCCGATCAGGATGTCTTGACAGAAAGCGTCATCAGCGGTTAGACGCAGGTCTTAATGGACTGTATCAAGTTTCTCTGCGATTTTAGTTGTCCTTGCGAGAATTTTCACGATGGCGGTGCTGCAAAGGGAAAGTACACCAGGTTAACAACTCACTAGGACTAAAACATTATTCAGGATTGAACGAAAATCTTCAGGAGCAGTAGTCAGTGTCGCTGCATTACCAAGGAGAGTAAATAAAAGTTTCCCCTGCTACATACACCAATGAGGTTGATCAATAGTGATTATCAAGCGTAGCGTGATAGGTCTATTGCACGTGCACGTCCCTACCAGTAATAGTTTGGTCAAAGGTACTATAGACACAACGGACTTAATAGAGATGGTGGTTTAAGAGAACGACTGAACCATTAGAGTGAGGGAGTTAACATAGAGCTTTAAGGTCGAAGACCCCTCACCCCTCCTCCCATCTTGTGGCTATCGACTCCTGCCTCTGATGCTTGTGGAATGCAGTTAGAAAAATCAGCAGAAACAAGAGACAACTCCTACCATGTGACGTTGCGACGCTCAATATGCCTAATTCTCATTTCTGAGATTTGAAAATGATACAGGCCTAACAAAGATTTTCCATTAGATTATATTTAATGTCGATGCAACATGAGAAGAGTAACTGAGACTCACAGAGAGGGAAGTCAATCACCGTCTCTATCAGCTGCGGCGAAACTTTTCTTCTGGTAGTGATGGTGTTGTGGCAATTTTCCTGAAAGCATGCCCGACCGAACGCAGTCTGACTTTCAGTAAATCCGTACAGTAAATCGCTGTATTTGGGAAATATTTTAGGCGTTTCTGCAGAGATCTTCCTCTCGCAAAAGTAGTCAATCCCATTTGCTTAATTACTGTGGACTCACTTTCCCGCAATCTGCATTCTTGAAAGAATGGAATTACCGTTTCACAGTGTGCTGCGCGACAAGATCAGATCTTGATTAGATACTACAGTATTGTATTGCAGCCGGTAGTCTCGTTCTATTCACGTTCTGCACAGAAATATGTTTGCTAGAAACGAGGTTCTGCTGATGCCATCATTTGTAGCAAAAGCTTGCTAACCTCACTAAAGTATCGTACAGGGAGACCGTAAAGTGAGAGCAGCATTTCCCAACTCAGTTCGACGTATGACACAATACAGTCAGAGATAGACTGCTATCTTTATTGCCGATGCTACGTTTAGAGCGGAAACTCTCGTTTTGTTGAATAATTACCTTGTAGAACAACAGCAGTGTGCTGCTGTTCCAGACAAAACGTCTTATGCGTGGTAAACAACTTTGAGGCTGTTCAGAGTTGAGTCTTTCTAGTATAATTTTTAACATCTGTGCCAATGTTTATGAGTACAGAACCAGCAATTAATTCTCCAAAAACCAGACAGTTATCGAAACTACCCTGTGACATGAATGACAATTGCCTTAACGTTGTGGACAGTCTAGTTTTGACCTCGAACTCGTTTTGAATGCTTGAAAATCAGTGCAAATGTCAATTTACAACAAAGGATCGTCGTTATACAGCTCTGCTGCATAACGTGGAGACATCAGCGAAAGATGAGCTCCGGTGTTTGACAAAGTGTGTGTTGTCTTCAGACCTAAAATGGCATGCTCATACTTGAAGAGTTTGCAAGGAAATGTGCAGACAGAGTTATGATGTTAACTTTTAGATGAGTTCCAGGGTGTCACGGAACACAGCATATAAATTTGTGTGAGTTTTTTTTCTGCTGATCACTTAACCTGGGTCGCATTTTTCCAGCAGTGAATAAAGTGGACTTGCTTCTCAAATACCAAACATTATTGAGCAGATGATTGCCAGCTCTGTTTATTCCGCGATGTGGGGTAAACCGTTGAATGTACTGAAAGGCCCGTCTAATTATTGCAAGGTTGGAGACAATAAGGATGATAAAGATCATCATTTGCCGATAATAAACTGATTGAAATCAAGCGACCAAACTGTTTGTAATGATCGGCTACCAATTAATGAGATAGGAGAAAGTTAAAACGGCTCATTTGAAAAACGTTGTTGCTGAAGTTATATTCAGCCATAAATGTTATGCATGGAAAATACACGGAGCCTGCAGTCGATCAGATATAAATGTAAGTTAGATATTGCACACCAGATTTTAGTTTGCAGACCTGCAGCGACTCAGTCTTACACTTCGTTTCCTCCACATATGAAATCTGCTGATGCAACAGATGTGACGGCCTGCTGATGAATTAAAAATGTCATTTGCAAATGTATTAGTCGTCATGAGAATCAAGTAAGCGGAATTGGACGCAGATCATTGCTTATAAATCGTAGTCTTCACGGTGCGGCAGCCGGCGATACTCAGCGATGCTTCTGACGAGCGCGAACCAAGGCTTGGAAGCTTTTAGGCAAACAAGAACAGCGTGAATAAGGGTCATCATCTTGGTTGTTCGCTTGCCCTCTCTCTGTACACTCCATTAAGCCGCTTTGGTTAATGCAATAAAGCATTAACGGCTGAAATCAATTTGACCCATGCTGGCCCAGATAAAAATATCAGACAATAAGGTTTGATACCAGACCAGCTGCATCCTCCTTTCCGTGTAGCCCCTCGCTCTTTCTGTTACATACCCTATTGATTTGAAACAGAACTCTCTGATGTAACGTGTGACATATATAGCAGATTTGCATTTAGATGGGTGCGAGGCGGACGCATCAATTTCTGCTGTTGACTGCAGCTGTATGCGCGGTAGCAGATTTACCGTCAGAAAAAGAACATGTGTCTTCATGTTACAACAATGCCGCCGTGTCTGTCCTTCGTCTTCGGCAATGTTTGGACATGATCAAAACTTTCGCATCGAATGATTCCATGTTCTGGTTTGGAGAACGCTGGAAAGCGACATGCACAATGCCGCACAATCGCTTTCTTTTCGACGTAAGTCAGTGTCAGTTTTTGTGTACTTTTGAGTCATCTCTACTTCTGCTGAGAGGATATACAATAACGTCATAATGGATAACATTTAATACCGTGGCTTATCGCAATATCGAGGTAGAAAATCTACATGCTACATCCTATCTATACATGTGTGATGAACTTTACTGCATTTTACCATATCTGGTACAGTCAGTTCCAAGGCAGAAGCATCTCTTGCTGTGCTAAAAACCAACAATAACCAAGAAATCGACATGCAACGAACGTCACTCAGTTAGTCAGTTTCGACACCTTTTTTTTGCTTCAGGCAGCGGAGGCAAGACGCATCAGACAGTGTCTTCGAAGTAGTCGATCCTGTCCAGGCGCTTGAGCTTCGGCTGCAGCTGACCGGATTCTAGAGCAGAGACCTTCACTACACTTGAGTCCGGTCAATGTTGGCCATCCTCTCGGTTTTGTGCCGGTCAGTTGGGGAAGTACTAGCTGTTTCGCCTTCTTTTCTGGAAGCATTCGAAACACGTGCCCAAAAACTCGCAACTGCAACTTCTCAATTTGAGGATGCTGCGATTGAACACAAAGGTTCTTGCATATTTCTATACTCCAAACCATGTCGAGACGCTTCAGGCCAGCGACACGTTTAAGAAAGCCCATTTCAGCCCCTGCGCCTGGGGTCGAAGTTTATCAGTCATAGCCTGCTCGAACATGAGCACGGAAATAGCTCATTGGAATAACGAATTCTGTGGTTGTCACTTCATATGGAGCATCTTCTACTTCCTTCAAAAAAGACATATGCTCTCTCTTACTCGGGCGCATAGACCTGTAGCAAGGTCAAAACCTTAGCCGGTTGTAATGTCAGTTGGATAATTGTCAATCACCCACCGACTGGCTTCCATTTCTTATAGTGATTCTGTCAGCTAAGGCAGGTTTTACAAGAACATCAACAGCGGTCCGAGCGCCCGTCGTAAAGTCTACACCTGAGTTGAGAGCTTGTACCCTCAAAGATTTAGAATTCCATAGTCTTGGCACTTCGTTGACGAGAGACCAACTCTATGGAGTTACGGTCTCATCAATTTACTTCTACATTTTCTCTCTGAGTGAGGATATGTTCCAATTTCCGACTGTAAGCTCCCACTGGCGATGTTTTTCCTGTTGAGCCTTTTCTGACATGCTAGAATGGCATAGCGCTGTCTGCCTTCTCCATTCAGAACGGTTAGCGATTCTGGTTGCTGATCGGTATCTTCATGGTCTTCTAGATGATCATCGGCAGCTATCATTGTCCTACTATGCCCCCGGCTGGTTCTGATCATCAACTTTTCGCAGTCTACCTCAGTTCTCCAAGATCTTATGCGACATTCTTAACCCCGCGATGACTGAGCTCATGGACGTTCTATAACGGCGATACCGTAGAACAGGTGTCCAAGGTTTACGGGAACCCTCGCCCTGGTCCTCAACGATTCTACATTCTTATAGGAGTTTCAGACAGGCAATGACGAAGTTGCAGCGAACGTTTCAGATGTAAAATTCAATTGCAATTTGTCAATTGAAAGTGTTTTTTGTCGATGAGAGATGGATTGGACGTTTCAAAAGTCTACCAATGACCACGGGGCATCCGATATTCAACATATGGCCATCAAAAAAGTTTCACTTTTTTTCGCTTACTAATAATATTGTTTCGGAAGTCGTATATCACCGATGATTTCGCAACTGGAAAGAACTTAGGAAAGATCTTTCGAGCCCTGCAACGGAACAAAATAACTTTAGTGACAGTTCTTTACCTGTCAGATGTGTCTGTGCAGAAACAGCGGGTAGGCCTGAAAGTATATGATGACGTGTCATGTTGGAGCCAAAACGAGAAAAGTTCGCTACGGCTTTCAGATATTCAGAATATGATATTGTTCAAAATGCGTTTGTGTCCATCGTAATCCAACTTTGGTGCCTTCAACACGGCAAACTGGAAATGACCAATATACCATATCGGTTGACTGCTAGAAGTAGAATGAAATGCATACTTCTTAGCCACAGTTGTAGTAGTAAAGGTATGTCATAAAAAAGATGGGGACGGTTGATGAAACAAAATATTTATAATCAGAGATGACTGACATCTTTATGATATCTGAGGCACTTCTGTCTAGGATAACGACAGTATGACTGCAAGCTTTGCCGGAGCGTTGTCACCACTAATTAATTGCCAATGGAAGTGCGATAAAATGTATCTTAATCCTAGATTCTACACGTGAATAGAGAATACTTTCTCCATTCGTTCAGGTATTTTTAATGTCCCTTGCCTTGACAAATTGTCTAAGATTTTTGACGAAGCAGTCCATCAACCCTGAATTACCATTGTCTCATTAGCAGGCAATCCTCATTATGAAAGAAAATACTTCCATTGCATCTGATTCCGATTGTAATTCTCATTGTCCGATCGTTTCTTTTTCTACGCGACAGGATCGTCGAGGCTATGCGTATTTGCAACACTTGTGTTTCAATACCTTTGCTTAGAATTTTTCAGAGCGGCTCAGCAAGTTATACTCTGATAATTGGAGATTGGAGCACTCCCTGTGATTTCCGTTCTTGAACAGAAATTGCAGCACTCCTTGTCACCCCGGTTCTCCCGTTTATGTTCTTTTGCCTGTTGTCATTTCAGCTTGAGACACCTATCAGCCATTACATGCTTGTTAGACTAAAGTTTCAAGCATCTCAGAACGATTTTATTGATCTGCAGACTTGCATTTTTTAAGATTTTACAATGTCTGCGACTTCATCTACTGCAGAATTAATATCCGTTTTCAGATGCTCCTCAGGTGGGTTTCCATGCACTTTCTTGGAGTTAAGTTTTTCCTCAAGGTACTCTATCCGTTGCCGAAGTATATTATCTTCAATGATCTCAATCTGACCTTTCTTTTGTCTCTAATCCGGCAAGTCGTCTGCTAGAGTGCATTATTTTCTGTGTGAAATTCCACTTCGCAACATTTTATCATTGTATACCGTATGATGAAGTACAGGACAAGTTTTGACTAATGCTTGCTCTTAAAGTTTTGAGTTTTACCTGGGCATCGAAACGGATGAGCACTTGTCGAAGAGCGATT